AATTAGCATATGCTAGCACCATAGAACTTGCTACTACAACAATGGTAGTACCACGAGGTGGTAATATTGGTGGAACAGTGATCAAAGTGCCACTCTTGGCAAAAAAATTTATCAAATTGCCACGTCAACAGTAAATTTTGCCAAAATGCCACGTGGCATATTTCGCTACACTGTGTGGCAAAATATGTATGCAAATAATTCACTACACAGTTTAGCGAAATATGCCATGTCAGAACCAAAAATGCCATGTGTCAAAATTGGAGAAATTCGCTACACTGTGTGGCAAAATATGTATGCAAATAATTCGCTACACAGTTTAGCGAAATATGCCATGTCAGAACCAAATATGCCATGTAGCGAATTTCTCCAATTTTGACACATGATATTTTTGGTTCTGAGCATTCTGACGTGGCATATTTCGCTACACTGTGTAGCGAATTATTTGCACACATATTTCGCTACACAGTATAGCGAAATATGTCACGTGGCATTTTGGCAAAATTTACTGTTTGTGTGGCAGTATGATAATTTTTTTTGTCTAACAATAACAAAATGATCACTGTTCCAGTATTGGTAGTAGCGACCCATCACGAAGAGTCCAGGGATCGCCCGAAGAAAATCTGGGAAAGTCCAGGCAGAGTAAGTGTGAATGAGGTAGGTCTTATTCTTCTATAACGGGACTGGCTGCAAGAATGCCAATTAGATGCTAGAGACTCGTAGATGTGAAATGTTCCTTGATAATTTTCACCCCTAATATATTTCTCCTGGATAAAAATATCGCCACAATGCAATATTTCAAATTGCATTCCAATTGAGGCAACCTTCATCGCAACAAAATTATTAGATATATGTGCCTACCAATTCATCATAATTCAAAGATATTTCATTGAATCATTGTCCTATGCCTCAAGCATATTCTTACTAAACAAACAATTAATCCCTATCGCCTCATCTGAATATAAAATTGATTATCGTTTGATCATACATCCACCGCCCAGGAGTGTCAATCAATCAACTAACGAAAGTGCCACAATCATTATGGAAGTTAATAAATAGCTGAGAAGATTCCAATTCGCCGATCGTAAAATAAATAAATAAAAATTAAAAAATTATACCTTAATTTGAGCATGTCTGCACTTCGGACACTAATTTCAAAGAACCACCCATAATATATAGTTATAGGGTTCGTTTTCTACATACACTGTAAATAAGTTATCTGCAGTAAGTCTAACATGACGTCGTTTTGAGACGGAAATTATGGTATTTTGTAATTTTAATTTATTTCAGGGTTATAATAGTATTTATATTTATAATTTTTTAAGATTTCAATACCAAAACGATTTTGTTTTGGAAATAAATGCAGATAACTTATCTGCATTAACTGCAAAAATATTTTCTATATTGATTTTTTTTTCAGTGCTACTGTAGTATACAGTGTCGGAGCAGTATATTATTATAATTATCTATTACTTTAATTGATAGCGGCGTCCACTTTGCGAAACCCATTTTTTATTCATCGGAAGAAAATTAAAAGGGTTTCAAGTATATAATTTATGGGAGTTTAATATTTTTTATGTTGTAAAAGATAAAATTAACTTTAATACACATAAAAATATGTGAGACTATACAAAGAAAAGAGAAAAAAAATAAACCACAAATATTTTTATATATACAAAAAATAATTTTATTTTTTACAACATAAATCTCATTGACTTATTTGATTGGAGTATTTTATTATAAGTATTTGATAGGGATTCATAAGAAATATGTTTTTTTTTTTTGGATATTATAAGAAATATGTTTTAATTTCGTTAATAGTCAACGATAAGACAAATTGTCGGTAAAATAGCATATCACGAAGTGCAACTACAACAGATCACCATCATATTACAACCGAAATAAAAATAGTGTAGTGATATTAATGGATCAGCCGAGTTGAGTTTTGATCTTAAAAAGTTAAGTTTGTATTTAAATATATCAGTCTGACTAAGCCTGTTATCTGTTATGAATAAAATTATCGGCCGGTGGCATGACTTATTCTCAAAAAATAAAAGTCTGGTTTAATCTGTTTAAAAAAATTAAGGCAATAAAAATTTATCCAAACAGAATATACAATCACAGTACTAGTAATTCCATAAATATTCATAAATTCAATATATATCCAAACAACATAATATAGAATAAAATCATTCAAAAAGTCTGTTTAACCAATAAAATGAGAGAAATGGATTAAGGAGAAAGAGAGTAGGCTATTACAAGTACTATAAAAAATATAAAATATAAATAAAAATTAATATACTAGGCCAGCCTGAGAGACTTCAAGATCGAGCTTTTGAATTAGAGCCTGACACCTTTTTATTAAACGAACTTTTATACAAGTCTAAGTCTGACTCCAACAATCAATTTTAGACATGTAAGCTCAGGTCAAAGACCCTTGGTCCTTAGTATACATAATGAGTGAGAAGAAATAGTGAAGGCGTTGGCTTTGCTACCATTATTCACATTTAAATGTAGAGGAAGGTTATACTTACAACCTATTTTTGTTTATAACCTTTTACAACCACATCTTAACCGTTGATTTCCATCAATCAACGGTTATTATTTTCACAAATTAAATTCATTAATAATTATTAATTCGCAATAAATGATAACCATTAATTGGCGAAAATCAATGATTAAGATATGGTTGTAAAATATTATAAATAAAAATATGTTGTAAGTATAACCTTCCTCTTAAATGTAATAAAAAAGGTATTTTCAATATTTAAAATATGCATGCTTGTGTTTTTTTTTTTCTTAAACAATAATGGCACAAAAACATATATTTTTGAGTTTTTTTATAAAAATATATATATTATCAATCGTTATCATTATCTTACTCTTAATTAATTCTACATTTGTGGTGCTCTTAATACTATTATGTTGTGAATCTTAATAAAAAATGTTAACAAAATACTTTTTAACAATCTTTTCAATATATATATATATATATATATATATATATATATATATATATATATATATTGGTATAACCTGGAAGTATCCCCATTCAACCTTCTTCGGTCACCTTGTCTTCGGGGTACGACCTTGTAGGCTAGCCCCTCATTAGAACAGCAGGTGCATTGAACTTCGTTACGGAGGAAGGATGAGACTAATCCTCTCGTTCGAGAAAAGAGGCACATTTTCTGTTCTCCAAAAATTTTCTAAGAATTTGCCTCACACAAGATTTGATTCAATATATTTTAATATTATTAGGTGAAATCACCCGTTAACTCCCCTGGATAACCTCATCCCATTGTCTATTAATAGGTGAGTCAGCATGAAATTTCTTTTAATAACAGAATCAAAGAGTGTAGTGCTAATATTTTTCTAATTTAATTCATCGCAGTCTCTATTAATACTTGATCCGCATGATGATTGTCATATTTCATTGAACAAAACATTTTGAGAATGTCTTCAATCATCAACAACAACGAGGGTGGTTAGGTTTTGGTGATCAGTAATTAGCATTAGTGGCCAAAGTCACCAGCCATCGTTAATCATCAACAAGAGTATAAGGTAGCCAGATTTCAGGGACCATTTGCCACCTTTATCACCAACAATAAAAATTTCTTCAATTATTTATGAGGTTATCAATTAAAAGTGGAAAAGTTTTGATTCCATAATATGGGTTTGTCACAATCTACCATCATCTCCAAATATTCGGCCCAGCTAATCATATCTAATTGGCATAGGTCAATTGACAATTGATTGTTTGATTCATAGGAGCCCAAAATAGAAAAATTATCATACACACATCAATGTGTCTAACGCAAAAAATCAGTAACAATCTCAACTCAAAAATATTAAGGTGTCTTTTAATCATTTCTCCTATATGTTTCATGTTTATCTAATTTTTTACTGATGCGAGATTTTATTATTTAAACTTGAATTAATTCCCACCCTGTCGTTGGTAGAGGCAAAAGGTGATTAAATTTGGCAAACAACAGTGGAAATAGAAATGTAGACATATTTAGGCTGCGTTTGTATGGACTTTTTAATAAAGTCCTTTTTATCACTTCTTTATTTTAAAAGTACTTTCTATAAAAGTTACAGCTATTTATATTTTGAAAAAAATATTTGAATTTTGAAAAAAAAATATTTGGCTTTTGACTTCTGCTTTTTTAAAAGTTAAAATTTTTAACTTTTGAAAAAAGTAAGTTTTTAGCTTTTTTATGACTTCTGTTTTTTTTAAAAGCAGACATCCAAACAGACTTTTTTCGAAAAGGACTTTTTTTTCTTAAAAAAGCAGCTTTTGAATAAAAAAAAGTCCATCCAAACGGGCTCATCCTGGGACCCGCTCCGAATCGAATTAGTCGCGAAACGATGAATCAATTGGAATATCTCCAAAAGAATCAAAAGGGTATAAGAAAAATTAAAACAAAAGTATTTACTATTATTTTAAATTGAATAAGTAAATATAACAAGCTATTCAGATTCGAATTTTACTTATCATTTAGATTTAAAAAAAGTTAAAAGTTCTCCAGCCCACCTTTTACAGGTTTGTTAATTTAGCAATCTGTGGTTATTTAATATTGTATTATTTTTATGTTATTTAGAATGTATGTGGACGATTTGTGATTATTCAATATAATATTTATTTCCCCCCTTTAAAAATCAAAGATATTTTTGAAACTATGGATATTATTGTGATTTTTTGTTATCTGAATTTTAATGTCAAAGATTGGACATCAATTGTGATTTTAAAATAATGATATAATCAAATAATCAAATTTTTAAGAAATATATATAACTCTTTGAATACCTGCTTAATTACTAATAGACGCTGATGAGATAAAAATAAAATAAGGAATAATATCAATAGTATCTCCATTTTGTTACTTGTTTGCCAAGTATCCTAATACTATATAAGACACTCTACCAATCCTGTATAATGATATTAACACCCTCCACCAATCCTGTTTTCTTTTTTCTTGTGTTTTCCTTTCAAACGCTCTTCAATGGCTGAACCCCAAAAGTCACGTGTGATTAAGCTTTACTTGAATGGTGCAAAACGTTCAAGAACGGTCCAAGAAGACTGCCTACAGACGGAGATCATCGCTCATTATCGTTACAAGAAAATGAGAAAAGATGCTTCTGAAATTTCTCCGCCATTGAGAATGAACAGAACGACTACTGAACATGAACACCGACCAACAAAGTGCAGAGTGCAGAGTGCAAGAGAAGGAAGGTGCTTCGGACCGGAAAACTCCAAAATAATGTCAAGAGCAGCTTCCCAAGTTTGTGAGTTGAAGAAGGAAGGTGCAGAGTGCAAGAAAGAGAAGAAACAAAGCATGGACAGAAACAAAAAAATGCAATATTGGGTGATCTTGAAAAGGTTGAAGGAAGGAAGAGATGCTTGGGCTTTCAAACAAGCTCTTGATGTTAAGGTCTTAGAGTTTAATGATAACCCTGAATCTGTATCAAAGCCAATAGGTTTGAAGGATATTGAGGTCAAATTGAACCACTATCTATATTACAAACCTAAGGAATTTGCAGATGATATGAGGCTTGCATTTTCTTATGCATTGCTATACCCTTTGAGGAGTGAGATTCACATGATTGCAAGGAGGGTTAGTGAGAAATTTGAGACCGATTGGAAATCTTTAAAGAAAAAGTGGATTCTTGAGGAAAGAAAAAGAAAGAAAAGTATGTGCAAATCTTGATAGAGAAGCTCAAGGTTGCTGGATTCTGTTTAGTGTAGTGTTTGTACAAACTTGATTCTTGAATTACTAGGTTATTGATTTTGTTTCCTTTTGAGTTTTATTAAAACGTAGATCCTGTTTTTTCTGTTTTTTCGTTAATAAGAAATCCTGTTTTATTAAAATGTCGTGTTTTTCTCGTATGAATTTGTTGCTCCCTCTGGAATCAGGTTATCTCCTCCACGTTCTCTCTTCCTCAATATTCGCTTCTACCTATTTTTCTTTTTTCTGAAATGTTTTTTCTATGTATATATTTTTTCTCGTTCTTCAGCTTCCTGCCCTTGTTTTCAATCGAAGTTTTAGGTTTTTTTAGTTCGTTTCGTTTAAAAATCACAGCATCTTGGTCCTATGCACTTCTGGTTGTTGAATTTGTTGGCAGATCTAGGACTTCGCGCTGTTTCTCAGTTTTTGTTTTGTAACGTTTGGCCGAAGCTTGTTAAGTTTAGTTTTATGTGTTTGTTATTTGATCCGAGTTCCTTCATTGTCGTGAACTCTGATCTATGGCTTTTTTTTATCCAATCAATTCAATTAATTGTTTTCCGTAATTTTAGCTAATCAATCTAAGTAATTGATTTCCTTAATTTTCTCTATTGTCATCACATTTAATTTCATGATTATATTTAAATTCAAATTTTAAACTCAAAATTCAAAATTAGAATACAAATTAATTTTAGTAATTTGTGTGTGACCCATATAATTTTTTTTAAAAACTTGCTTAAGATAGAAATTTTACACTTTTCTAAAGAATCCAAATCATTGTATAAATTACATGTGGCAAATTTTTTATAGAAAGACTCTGAATTATAATATAGTAAATATTAGAATCAAAACGGTATATTACCAAATGATGGTAGATAAGCTGGTAGCACGATGGAATTGAGCAGGTGAGAGTAAGAGCATGTGTTTGATTCTCCTAGAACCGTCTTTGGGAGGAATTTAAAGCCTTAGGCTGCGTTTGTATAGACTTTTTAATAAAGTCTTTTTTATCTTCCTTATTTTAAAAGTACTTTCTATAAAAGTTACAGCTATTTAGATTTTTAAAAAATATTTGATTTTTGAAAAAAATATTTGGCTTTTGACTTCTGCTTTCTTTAAAAGTTAAAATTTTTAGCTTTTGAAAAAAGTAAGTTTTTAGCTTTTTTATGACTTCTGTTTTTTTTAAAAACAGGCATCCAAACAGACTTTTTTCTTAAAAAAAGCAGCTTTTGAATAAAAAAAGCCCATCCAAACGGGCTCTTAAAACATTTCACATGTTAAAAATGTTTTTATGCCATAGGAATGGACCACAGCTACCTCCTCGCATGGGAATAAAAGTATAGAAATATTAGTAAACAATTGTAACACCCATAGCTAGCTTTGGAGTATTTCGTGTACAAAGTTTATAAGCAAAATGAAAGTTTCAATCATAGCAGGTCGTTTAAAACACAACATAAAATGTGATAACATTATCAACAAAGTCTTGTACAGTTGATAGATAGTTCGATTGTGTCCCTTAATCATACTGACATGAGTTTGATTTGTATATGAAAAATGCTTTGTAGTAGTAGTAAAACCCACTTTAATAATCTCAACGCCTCAAGAGAATTAATCTTTAACTATCGGATGAATATCCTGTTTTATACTAAAAAAGCGGTGATAACATTACATTAGTATTAAGCTTTACGAAGACCCATGTTAATATATACTGGTTGATAATTGATATAATTGGTTACGCATCAAAGTTTATCTATTATGTCACTTGCTTACATTCGGCCTAACTGCACATCAAAGATTACATATATGATGTTTTGTAACTGTTAACATTTTTTTTACGAGTTTTTATGATTTTCTCTTAAAAACATAGAAAGTAATATCTATTTTCTATATTTTAAATGATAATGATTTTTAAATTATTATTCAAAACACTGTTAGTTTAGTGGATGGAAAACACTTTTAGTATGTCATTTTAAGTAAGCAAAACACTATTAGTCTAGAGTAAGACTTAGAAGGCTTTTTTTCTTTCAATTTCAACCGTTAATAGATAGAAATCAATGATTATCATTTATGGTATAATTAATAATTAATTAATTATTATGACTTTATAAATTATAATTATTAAATAAACAAAATTAATAATTAAGATGAAAAATAAGACTTGTAAGTCTTACTCTGAAATTAAAATATTCCTCAAACATATATATAAGTAGATGATTACTTAAGAAAAAATCACATCGCATGATGTAAGTAATTTATATATTTATAATCCTATAATAATTTAGTATTTTAACATTTTTTTCATTAAATTAAAACTAATATTTAAAATGAATACTGTGGGGAGAAACCTTAACATTTTTTTGGCTTTTAATATTAATGATCATGTTAAATATTCAATTTATATATAATTAATTTGATCATGTTAAATTAATCTGATCATGTTAAATATGCTCTGTCCAAAACTAATGTGAGGTCGTACTTCCCACGACGTATATTGTAAGAGATTTTAATCATATTATATATTAGGGTTTTTAAATGAATAAGTTATGTTATTTTAGAAAAAAAAGATAAATACAAAGAATGAAAATCACGATAAAGAAAGTGGGTGATTTTTTTTTAAATTTAAATTTTAAATAAAAAAATATTATTTTATGTCTATCTCTCTTAAAATGACATAATTTTATATCATTTAAAATGACAAACATTTTTTTTATATATTATTAATATTTTCTTTTTCAATGCACACTTTTATAAATAAATAGTTATTTATAATTAATTTATTTTTACGTTTTTATTTTTAAGATTTCATTTATTTTATAATTTATATATAAATCCACATTTTGAAAAAGCTATGGATATAACCCTAAACAAAAATAAAAAGATAAACTAAAATATTAAAGCTTGAAAGAGAAACTGAAATTTATTAAAAGAATTATGTCACTTCAATAAAAGAAGGGGTTTGCATTTATCATTTCACGTGATATAAAAAAGTTTCCTACACACACAATATTTTGTGGGGTCCACACTTTTTAAAGCAAAAAAAAAAAAAAAATTACGGCGCACAAAACGAATCTCTGTAACATTACAGAATCACTTTTTCTACAATATAACTCTTATAAAACTCATAAAAGAAACATAGCATAACAAGTTGGTTCATTCTATCAAAAAGTAGTTAAGTTTAATATACCAAGGCTGATAAATTGAACTGTAATGTTTTTTTTTTTTTCATACACTAAATAAAAGAGAAAATGCAAACTACAAAAAAAAAAAAAAAAAAAAATAGAGAGAAAAAAGAAAAAGATAAAAAAGGGGATAAATGTAGAGAGAAAAAAAAAAAATCCGATATTATATCTCAAATCGTTGCTACTGGAACCAAAGCCATCGAATTTGCTGCAATCATTGTTACACCTTTATAACCTTTCTCTTCAGATTAGATCAGATCTACAACATCTCGTTTTGCAGATCCACCATGGATTTCATGAAGGTCTTAGATCAAACCGTTCGAGAAATGTGAGCATTGCAATTTTCATTTTTCCTTTATGAAAAAAAAAAAGGAATCAAAATCAAAATCTATTTCAATCTTCTCCTTCGAATGTTATTCCACCTTGTTCTTACGATTATGATTGCTTCTGTGAAAACAGAAAGAGAGAGGTGAATCTGAAGGTGCTCAAGGTTCCTGAAATCGAACAGAAGGTAAAATTATAGTTGTTGCTAGTTTGCTGTTATTTGTGCGGATTTCATTGAAAATCTTACAATCCCTGCTTTATTTTTTTGTTTCTAAGAAATCCTGGTATATTGATATGAATATCCATTGTTAGTGTATGAGAATTACACCTATTAACAATATATTTTTCTCAATATTTGTCGAGGCGTACGTACATTTCTAAGGATTGCTGCGTTTCTCTAGATTAATTTGAATTTAATACGTCTTAGAATTGATTGCAGCATGGTACTTCCCTATCTACCCCTTATTTCGTAATTTTCGAGAAATTTGTTGGTCCAACTGCCTGATTCCATATAGTCACAAACTTTAACAATCTTCTGTTCAGTTTGAGGAAACATTTTCTATTTTGATTTGCTATTTTTCATTTCAGGTTTTCAAATTTTAACAAACATGTCTACAAACAATGGATCAACATATTTTTTGTTTTCGTTTCATATTTTCAAATCATAATTACAAAATCGCCACTGCATTTTCATCTTCCCTAACAAAGGTCAAAGGTACTTGTTTTCTTCTTGTTAAAGATATAAATCATTCTTCGCATCTGGAGTTCATCGAATAATTTAAGCTTTTGGTGGGAGTTGGTCATTGACATGGTTGTAGGATTATAAATCATTTTTGGGCCTTCATCAAATTACTTTATGTTTTTGGTAGAGTTGGTCCTTACAAAAATTTTGTAGTCTCAAGAAAAAAGGAAAAAAGATGCCTTGATGTATGTGCTTTTCCATTTTAGATGTCCCATGCCAGCATCTCGAGATTGTTTGTTGGAAATTTGTCAGCGTTGAGCCCCATTCCTGTGCACATACAAAGTAATTAACAGTCACCGATGAATAAGGCAGATTTCTGATAATAATAATAGAAGAAACATCTTGTTCGACATAATATTCTTAGATATAGATATGGATTGTTGTGATTATAGTTGTTCTTCCACTTTTTTTATCTGGCTTCAATTTTGAAGTTTTCAAATTAAGGTTTTGTCGTTTTTTTCCTCTTTAATGTGGTGAATTACTATAGAATGAATCTTATGTTGTGGCCCTCCTTCTCTGCAAACATAGACTGTAGAATGCATGTATGTCCAAACTTCATAGTATATCTATACTACTTAGTAAAGGGGATTGCCCACTTTAATTGCTGAATTTGGTCACAATTTTTTTTACCCATTTTGTTATTATGATTTGTTTATATTTGCATTTACCAACAAATAACTACCTCACATGATTAAAAATTGCTCCTTATTTGATTGAAAAATGTAAACTTCTCCCATCTCTTGTCCCTCTTTTTGTTCTTTTAATTTTTAGAATATTAAAATGTTTTAAATATTTTCTTTTCATTTATTATAGCAATATTAATTATTTATAACTATATGAATGAAAAATGAAAAATGTGGATTGACTTGCATGTTAGTATCTGTCAATCTGCAACCCAGTGGTATTATTTTATTAAATTTTTTACCATTATTTATAATTTAGGTGTTGGATGCAACTGATAATGAACCTTGGGGTCCTCATGGTTCTGCACTGGCTGAGATCGCACAGGCTACCAAAAAATTGTAAACAGCTATCTTTCTTTGCTCTAGTTATATTACTTTAACTTTTTTTTATCTGTTTTTCATTTTCGTATTTAGAGAAAATTTCTGGTATTTTTCTAATTAGTTGATTGCTTCTGCTATACTTTCTAGTACTGAATGTCAAATGGTCATGAATGCCCTTTGGACAAGACTGAGTGAAACTGGAAAGGATTGGCGTTATGTATACAAGGTAACACTTGCCTATGAATTTATGGTAAAAGGAGAAGGCTTTTTTGCATTCTCTATGTTAATAGATTCAAATTGCCTTTCTTTCAATAACTTAAAAGTACTTTCATGTCAGGCGTTAGCTGTTATAGAGTATTTGGTAGCACATGGATCTGAACGTGCAGTTGATGACATTATAGAACATACTTTTCAGATCTCAGTAAGGGCCAACCTCTTGTATTTAGCTAATTTTTTCTTGCAATTCTCATCAGTGCTGATAATAAGAATAAAAGAGCAATTTTTCACATAATTGTCATTTACTTTGGATTGGTAAAGGCACTTTCTAGTTTTGAATATGTTGAGCCTAATGGGAAGGATGTGGGACTCAATGTGAGGAAGAAGGCAGAAAACATTGTGGCCCTTTTGAATGATAAAGATAAGATACAAGAAGCCAGAAATAAAGCTGCTACAAACCGTGACAAGTAGGTCAAATTTGTCAATATTTAGATCCCAGAATTGTAAGGTTAACTAAGCTACTATAGATTGTGTTGTCAGCAAATAATTTTCCTGTTTTTCTTTTGGGTCCTTATTTTAGGTACGTTGGAGTTTCTTCTAGTGGAATCACCTACAAGTCTGGGTCAGCATCATATAGTAGTGGTGGCTTCTATCAGAGCAATGATAAATATGGAGGCTTTGGTTCAAGAGATGGTGATAAGTTTAGTGATAGCTATAGAGACAAGGGGCACTACGAAGAAGAAAAAGTTGAGAAAGATTACCCTGGGAAATCACGCCATGGAATCACAAGTGACAATCAAGAAAACTCCTTCAAGAAGGGTTCTACACGCTCCGTCAGGTAGGGCATATCTAACCACTATTATGGTCTGCATATAATGTTGAATGTATTTTATGCTTGTTCCATGCTATAATTGGAGTATATTGCCATAAGCTTAGGTAAGTTTGAATTTGGAGCAGCTAGTGACTACTTTAGAACTAAAGACATGAATTTAGTTGTTATTGCATCTATTAAAATATCAGGGAAGAGTACATAATAAAGAACTCTGATTGATACAAAGATTTATAAAAGTTGAAAGGAAGTTAATTTTTTTGCGCCAAGTCAAGACATGCTTACCTGTGCATGATTCATACTCATTGCAATACACATGTCCAGATTCAAGCCTTTAGTCCCTACTCTTCCTTGCCTAGTTCAACAAGCTTGTTTTGACTTTTGAGAACACTTTTAAGTGGGAAACTTAGTTAATGATTGAGAACTTGAGATGCTTATCTCAGTTTCTACCTATTACTTGTACTGGCTTCAGTTTTTATGCACATGCTTTTGCCTCTCCTTACTGCAATGATTGTATTATATTGCCTCTATTCTTATTCCAGAATTTCTGTCTTGCAGCAAAAGTCAGGAGAACATGTCATCTAGAGTATCAAAGTCATCTACTAATGCAAAAGCCTATGATAATTATAATTCAGTTCCTTCTCAAAGTTCAAGTGTACCTGCAAACAATACCGACGATGACTTCGATGATTTTGATCCAAGAGGAACTTCTACTAGTAAGTATTCTGAACAGCCTCCACCATTGCAATTGCTGATTCCATTCATTTAAGAGAAAAATTAAGCAATTAATTCGAGTATAAATTACTGCAGTTTTCACATTTTACTGTGATATATGCGATGTACATGCAACTTGCACATACACAAGCCTTCCGAGTTCAATGTATTGTCTGGTAGTGGCAATTACCTCTGTAGACTTGGTTTTTCAGATTTGTCACCATTTAGTTGGCTGCAAATTATTGTTAATCACCTTTCTCGCCTTTCTGCGATTGTGACCTGCTTTGTTTATTCTTGTACTGACAAACTAAGGCCATGTGCTCCTGAAACAACCAATGAACAAGGAATTGAGTAATTGACTATAGATACTTGGTGGCAGGATTATTTTACCTTTTAAATGATGATGTATCATTTTTATTTTTTTTCAACAGAGACTTCAGCTGGAATCTCTAACCAGGTCGATCTCTTTGGACAAGACTTAATCAGTGACCTCATGGATGCTCCTACATCTGTTTCTGTAGAAAAGCCAGCAACGAGTAATGTGCCAGAGGTTGATCTCTTTGCAGACGCGGCATTTGTCTCAGCAGCACCTCATGCGGACAAAGGAGCTAGTTCTCAACCACAGGTTAGATTTCATCACCTCTAATCATAGTGTTGCAATTGTTTTTTCCGTGTCAGCTGCCGACTACCTACTGTTGGTTGCATGAACCTCTACTAATAAGTAACGTTCAAAGCTCAAAACCTCCTTCTTCCACTATCATTGTAGCCCCAAAAAATGAGAAAGTTGCCAATATTCCTCAAAATAGGATTGCTTGACTGCATTGTACTTCATTAAAGTAAATATTATTGGCCTACTATTTATTATGATTTGTAATATCAGTTTCATTTCCTAAATTATGTTTTTGAGATTGTAATTCTGGTAAACTGTAGAAGCTAGCATGCTGAAATGGGTGGTGGAGCAAGGCTTGCCATTTATAACATATTAGTTATGTACAATTTTTCACATGATTCTAAATGTGTTTAATCACGTGAGAAAAATTTTGTTCATCTTTAAGGTTCTAAATTGTGATTGTGAAATACTCATGAAAGAGAATATTGCTTACCTGCTTACCTTCTTTCTCCACAGTTTCCTTACACAGTGCTAAGATTCCATTTGTTTGTATCTTGTTGATTGCGTGTACAGAATGAAGTGGATCTATTTTCTTCGCAACCAGCTATTCCTTCAGTTACACCAACAGTTGACCTGTTTTCCATTCCTGAACCAGTTTTGCAGCCAGAGAGCAAGTCAGAAAATTCTGGTCCTATGAATAATAGCACTATTGATCCCTTTGCTGCTGTTCCTCTTAATAATTTTGATGGATCTGATATTTTTGGTGATTTTACTTCTCAATCTGATTCTGTATCTTCACAGCCCTCAAATAATGCCGTCAGTGATGGCAGCCATGATATGAATGGTAAATCTTTAGCGGACTCTAATGTTACACCTAAAAAGGATACTTTCCAGGTGAAGTCTGGCATTTGGGCTGATTCACTAAGCCGTGGATTGATTGATCTCAATATATCTGCTCGTAAGTTTATTATCTTGACTACTTTGACAGCTTTGCCACAGATTAATACATTGTGTGATAAGTTACTAATTTATTCCCTATATCTCCATATTTTAAATGATCTATAGTTGTATGATTCTTTTCCTCCAAGAGTACATACAAGCACAATTTATTCCTCAGAGTTTTAGCCTTTTAGGACACCATTTTCCGCTTCTCACAGTGATTAATGCATTGCATTGTGGTATATGATATCTTAAATATGCACAAGTCCCTTGCTTAAAGAGTACGTACATGAATTGGGTATTAGGATCTTGGTAAACTACTAGTATGTTCATCCACTTCCTCCCTTGCTTCTCTCTGCATCAGCACTACCATGAATCAACGAGTTGAATGATGCGCTCATGAAGTAAATGCTCTTCAAAGAGCAATTTGTTTTCTTTATTTGTCCGTTTATGTTAGATTGTACTTAAGTTTACTTTACAAGCTCATTTTGCTTTCCCCCCCCCCCCCCCTAATATGCCAATTATTTGAGTAGCTTCTGTAATTTTCTTTTATTGTTTTGCAGCCAAAAAAGTATCCCTTGTGGATGTGGGAGTTGTGGGTGGATTGAGTGATGGATCAGATGAAAGGGAGAAAGGCCCTGCACCGTCATTTTACATGGGCAGAGCTATGGGTTCAGGATCTGGTCTTGGTATGTCTGGATTCACTCCTTCACATCCAGCAACTGGGGACGACATATTCTCTAACCTTGGCAGCCAACAATATCAATTTGGTGGGTTCCAGAAGTAAAATTCTCAGATTTTATACTCATCCTATTACATTTTCACTCATTCTTTGTGGGTCGGCATTGTCGAGACTGTTGAGCTCTTTGGCGTGGTGGATCTTGTTTATATATATATATATATATATATATATTTCTCACACTACTGTGATTTTATTATTTCAAAAGTAACTCACAATTGCGTCTAAACGCTGTTTACGTCTGATCGATTGCAACATCGTGCAGACTGCAGGCCCCAAACTTTGGGTGGCACTGCGTTGAGTTGTAAAATACCCCTTTTCTCCTTTAATGTTGCTGGTGAAATGTTATCATTACTTATAGATCAACCTGTCAAAGCTTTTTTTTAGTTTTTTCTTGTTTGTTCCGTGGTGCCAAACTTCAACAGATAACCTCTTTTATTGCTTTCTTACTGCTGGTGTTCATGTTAGTTAAAGAAATGTGGACGTTGCCTAAGCAGTACTGAAGCGCATGCTTTCATCTAAAATAATCTAGAAATTTTTCCTCCAGCATTGCTATAGTGGACAAGCGTGGCTGCAGCTGCAAATTCACGACATATTTGTGAGGCAAATTTAAAGGGTTTCACTTTTGATTACCTGCACAATATTCGTTGAAGTTAATTCATTCCAATCATTTTTTTTATTTTATTTATGGAAAAGTTCATAAATCTCTCTCGGTTTACATTACACTTTTATCACTTACATCCTTAATTTTTTTTTTCTTATCAATTATCCCGTGGGTTTTTTTCATCCAATTTTACCTTTAACATTGTTAGTAATTAAATTAACTTGTCCATTTTACCTTTCATACAATTACATGAATCAAATTCATTTTACATAATTCACTAAATTTAGTTGAAACAAAACAATGTTGTGTGCAGTTGCGAAAGCATTATTGCTCGAAACTCATGATTTCTTGGAAAGTAGAAGTTAACGCAAACTAAGCCATCCTAGGCAATAACAATAATTGTTGGAATAAAGTTACAGCAGAAAGGAATATGCACAAGTAGGTGAGTTTTCACCATAAATCTGATGCAAGAGATCAATTTTTATACAATGTAGAACTTTGGCACACTAAAATTGACAAAATATGTCACGCTAACCACCAGAAACATCAATTTGGGAGGGAGCAAAATAAATTTAGACAAATGAAAGCAGGAATTCCTGAATTTGCTATTATTACAACCAACGAACATATGCTACCCTTAATAGTAATCTACATACTTTTAGCATCTGCTTTTGTTGAAGGAAGTGTTCCAAAAACTTTATCCCATAGTGATGAAGTGATGCCAAAGCCTTTATCTTGGATCCGAAAGTGATGAGTCAAGTTTGTAGGGTAAGATGATTTGGCTTGTATGGATTACAAGATGGAGATAATTGCTAGTATATATGATACAGACACAGAAAGATGCTACAAAAAAAATGTGGATACGAGAAAATGAACAATACGTGGCAAACACTTGCAATTAAATCTACCCTTTACAACTGATTTAAATCCCTTACTTTTCCATATAAAGAAAGACACAAACAACCATCCAGGATGTGTAGGCCTTAACACACAAAATGGAAGACTCAGCACGATCTATGAAAATAAAACTCTCTTGTTCCTAATCCCTTGACAAGAATTTTATAAAAAGGAATTCACCGTATCCCAGTTTGATGTCCTTCAATTTCTACTGAAATTAAATACACAAAAGCTAAAATACCAACTTTGATCGGTTAACATCTGGTAAATTATACAACTGTTTTCTTTTTCTGTGATTTATACTAGAACATGATGCTTTTGCTTAGCAGCGTTTTAGTTCGATTTTTAGCAATCAACATGGCCCTGCCAACAACAATGGCAGCTATCCACACCGTTGGAGACACAGCAGGTTGGACAATAGGTGCTGATTACAGCACATAGCCATAGGCTATTAACTTGACCTTTGTAGTTTTGTCATAACCTTGGTAAGGTCTTTTTAATTTATGAACAATGCTATGCTATTATTTTGACATCAATATCGCTTTGCCTTTTCTCTCTTTGGAACCAATTTTTTGTTTCTCTCTTTTTATTGTATCTGTAGGAAAAAATTTCTTTTTTCCTGTAATACGAGAGATATAAATCCCTTGAAAAAATAGAAATAAAATAGAGAAGTTAGTTTTATCAACTTTTCTCTTTTATTCATGAATAGATTGAAACTCACTAAAGATATCATGTCAATCATTCCGAATAATAGAGAAATGTTACCAAGACAATATTTATAATAGTCCCTATTATTATATAAAATCTCGTATGGGTCTACTGATACAGAAAGAGATCAGATTATGTAGTGAGATCTATACAGGATTTTATTAAAAAAAATAGTATCAAATAATGCGTAAATAACCTTCTCTTTCTAAATATTGATGATGCGATATTACTGTTTTCCTCTATTATCCACCCGAAGGTGAGTGAAATACTTCAACAGCAAATGTTATAAGAAAAAAAAAATAGAAGATGTAAATTTTACTTGTAAAAACGTCATGGCAAATATAATAATGGGAAGAAAATACTTAACATCATGGCGTTATAGACTTGAAAGACTTTTTATATATATATATTATATATCGGTTCATTGATTATTCGATTAGTCCGATTCGAGTTGAGTAGGATCACATGAACCGTAAAGTTCTTCTTATCAAGTTTTAACATAGCTGCATTTCGATAAAGTTAAACTCGAAACCATTGATTAAAAAAAAAAATTCTTTAACACATACCATAAAAAAAAGGTGGAATAAATTATAATTATGCCAAAATAATCATTCACCTTTTTTATCCTTTGAATAACGGGTTGGCAATTTTTAAGCCACACCTTTTGGTTATGCTTTTGATTAAATGATTAACCATTCACCTAATTTAATTAAGGGAAAATATTTTTGTTTTTGCTGCAGAAATTTTTTCTCTACCACATGTAAATGGACCCTATTTTAAAAAGAAAAGAGAAAAAAATTAATAAAATCCACTCAATTTTATGTTAGTATGGTAGAAAAAAAATCTCTACAATAAAAGCAGAAGTGTAAAACCTTTTAATAAAATAGCTTATTTACAATTAATAAAAATTATCTAGAAGTAAATCAATTTGTTAATCGAGCTTACAAACCAAAACGTTCGACCTAAAGAACACACCAAACGAATAAGCCATTTTTTCCATGGTTTTGTTTTTTGGATACAATTGCGACTAAAATTTGAACTTATAACTTCATGCAAATTATTCAAACTTACGATTTTATTTTTAGTCGGCTAACACATGCAATGCTTGTTTTAGGTTTTCAATCCTCTAAAATCATTCTCACAAGTCCAAATCACTAATTATAATTTATTCAGTTAAGTTTTAAAAATTGACTCCTATGGTAAAATTAATTTTAACAAGTAAATTTCAATAATTTTTCATTTTAAAAGAATTTACACTTTGATACCCAAAATAAAAATTCTAAAATGGATAATTTCAACGTCAATTCTTCAACAGTCAAAATTAAAGGGAACCAAATCACTATTTTTTCCAAGGGTAGACAAATCGGTCTCTTTCATGTAAAAATTAATTATTTTTAAACCATTAACCAACGGTCTATCATTGAGTTAATATATTATGTCCAAAAATCTAATTCAATATTTATAACATCAGGGATTCAGTGCTATAAAGTGACTCGATTCACTGCCAAAACGGGCAACCCATCCGCATGTTAATAAAATCAGGATGAAAAATCTAACCCGCCCCATTTTATACTAAGTTGACAGATCAACCTGCCAAAATTCCCCAATTGCAGAAAAAATCTTAAACGCCCCCGAATTGCAAGCGTATACTCTTTCAAAGAGATGAATAGGAGAGAAGATGAGGTACAGAAACACAGAGATTCATTTTTGTCTCATTTGCCAGAGGTATAAAAGGTTTAATTTACACCCAACGTGGAAAAGGATTGACACCAAGTTGACAAGGGAAAAATGGCTTTCCCTCATTTGTGATTTGGCTGATGATGGATGTCTTGCTAAAAAAACTGACAGGCGAACCCACCTCGCAGCAAATTCAACCTCTTTTGATATACACTTACAACAGGAGGAGTTGGTGGGTTGGGATTTATACCCCAACCCACACATCGTTTCTGTTTTGCAAGCACTAAAATTCACGGCAATCCATTTGGCCAGGGTCTACTGTCTACGTCAACTAGCATAAAAATAATAATAATAAAAAAAAAAAGCCCGCGCTATCTCCCAGCAAAATATTGGTGCCGCCTAAGCAAGAGAATTGAAATAGTTTATTCAGTTTTGTTATAGAAAACTTGACAATTTCTTCCTTTCTTTTTCTTTTTTCCGGTGAATGCAAGCGGGGAAAAAAGGAATCACAAGTATTGAACAACTCCTTCCCCCTAACTCATTCCAAGTATCAGAGGCACCAAGTCACTATAGGCTCAGAAAACTGATTTATTGCATAAGTTTGGTTGAAAGAGAAGTAAACCGTTTTCCTTACTACATATCCAAGATTCTACCCCTTAACATGGCCTCAGCTTTCTTCACCTGCTTCACTGGTCCCATGATGAAGACCTACATAAAAACATGAACACTTCAGACAGACAGTTAAATAGCAGTGTTTTCACATGCAAATTGTGTTTGAAATCAAAAAATGAAAAATGGTGACTGTAATAACACATTAGAAGATAACAGATTCAAATTGACCAAGTGAAAAAAGTTTCCAGGGATCATAGGGATTCTCAATCAAAACCATCATAACAAGATCTGTTGCAAGTCCAAGACACCCCAACAGGTATATAACCCCAAAATTTGAACATCATATAGACCTCTTTCAGCAAATATAATCATTCAGATTACTGGTATAGAATGTACCAAAGACTCAACAAAAGGTAATAGGATAGATAATTAAAAAATCAATAACAAACCACCAACCCACGAACTTAAAAAACTCGAGCAGCTAAGAAGCTGGAGCTCATCAATCACATGCACAGCATGCTGATATACCAACCTTGTCAGGCGGTCCCTTGGAACCTCCAATGAGAATTTCCGCACTGAACAATAAAACAATGGATCAAAGTATTTACTAATTACCAAAAAAGAAGAAGAGAAAAACATGTATTCACTAAACCAAAGGAATGGAAAGGAGAGAAATGAATAATTACTTGCAAGACTCCTTAATTGACAAAATGGTAGCCCCTTTTTTCCCAATAACAAGTCCCATCTTTCCTTGGGGAATATCAAGAACTGAAAGAATTTCTTCTTCAGGACCATTTCCATCGGCTTTCAACTTATCTACAAGAAAAGAAGCGCATTCTTTAAATAGTCAATAGCATGAAACAATCAATCAAGCATTCCTCATACATATGTATCACTGTATCAGTATACAAGATTAACATAGAAAGCTAAAAACAATACTTCTTGCCAGTTGTAATGTAATCTAATGAACAAAGCGGACCAAGCTTCACTAAACTATAATATATTTTCACGAACCTGGAAGAGGAGTTACAACATAAAAAAAGGGAAGAACCCTCCCACCAGGAAGTTGTAGTTCATAGTTCATGTAAATTTCTCTCTTTATGTGTTTACCTAGGAGTTGCATATATTCACTTTTGTATGGTGATTTTCAACTGCTAAATTATGCCATCACCTTTAAGTCATATTATGAATGACATCATACTATTTCAATTTCAAATTAAACTCTGTTGGTGGAAAGTAAAGTATAGGAGGATTTAAAGGCAACTAGCAATGTAATATGTCCATATAATTTCATGATATAGAAATCAAATAAGAGAATATAGTTTATATATGAGATTCTCATTCACATTTAAGACCTGGAATAGGAGGTAGAGATGGCCAATCAGCATAATCATTATTGTTTACACAAAAACATCGGCAATACAAGGCACCACGAACGGCAAGATACCACAAAGACCGCTCATTTAATTTCTCCATCATTTGGTGATAGATGTAGAGAAGAAAACGGACATCATCAGCAGCAGCACGGACCATTTGTTCAGATAAAGGTCTGTGTGTCCAAAACTTGGGGTCCTGACAGAACATTTAGAAATAACATCACTAGATAAAATAGCTAAGTTGGATAATGTAGATTATATAAATATTTCATATTTATGCTTTGATAGCCCATGCAAATTATTCTTATTGACCTGAACATACAAATCAATATCAACAAATGGATAAATAAAATTCTTAAATTATGATATGTAAAAATGAAAATTATATGACATAAAAATTAATGATGTTTTACGGTTTCTTTCATTTGGAACTCTCTATAGTTACATGTTTTTTAGTGTTTGTTATCAGTCAAACCTTGAACGTAACATCATATGATGAAATCAATCAAGCATGCTGGAACCAAGTAAGATTATTCAAATACCAACCTGTCGAAGGAGGACGCGAACTTCTTCCTTCTCAAGATATGAGATACCTACATGCAAACCCTCAAAAGTGAATATGGAGGAAGGAACCAAGTGACTCAAAGGAATTTATTAGGAATTATTAATCATCTCCAACCAGAATAATTTGGTCAAGAATATAAAGAAACCATGACCAACAAGAACATTTTAATGGATACCACGACACGTATAATACCACAATAACGTGGATCTGCAAGGAGGCCAACAAATGAAATGTAGTCATCTGGCAATCTCTTTCGCCCTTCTTGCTCCTCTATCAGTGAATAAGCAATCTGAACCAAAACAAGGGATATGATTAATCATTCAAAAAAGAACAAGGATCGAGACTTATAAACATTTATTGTACTAGTGTTAAGAATCCTATGGAATTATTAATGATACTCATCAACATCAACAACACCTTTATCCCAAACCAGTTGGGATCGATGGTCAATAAACACAGAAAAAAAAAGATTGAGAAAAAATAAATAATAAATAAATAATAATAGTAGTAGATTAAAAAATGAAAATTAAATAAAATGAAAAATACGTTTACATAGCCTGTCCCGAACCAAGGTAAAAGAGGACGGTTGCCATCAGGAGTAGTGAGCCGGCCGTAGAAAAAAAAAACAACTATTCTTATGAGATGAACCCATTAGTGATACTAAGAAGAAAAAAAATTGCTAAGGGAACTTATTTGTTAATCAATTTCCACCTCTCTCCAACCTTGACATTTCTTAAATTCAAATGGATCGCTTAGGAGGAACAATAAAAGAAGTCCAACTAAGAATGGCTCTTTTATGATTATAGAGATAAGTTTAAAAGTAACCAACTGATGTCTTTACTATAAAAAGGTTTAGGAGGAAAAATGTTTGTTTACAGTTAGTAGAAGCTTTTTGATCTAATAAAGTCGTTGAAACAGAGTGTGAGACTAATTATGAGCAAAGGCTTGCACACTGATATATTATAGTTAGACAATTTTGGAGATAATCATTACTATCAATCAAGGAGGTAATCACTAGATAATTTTCAGCAATCAAATGAATTTAGTTGACGGAATGCTAATATTCTAAACAAATATATTACACTCCCCCTGAAATTGAGGCTTATTAGACTCTGAAATTGTTAAAAAATAAGCACTCTTAAAATAACAGAAACATAATGTGGGGTCTATAAACCATATCTGGAAAGACAACTCATCAAAATGAAGCATCCCAAACACTAATGAAGAGATGCTTTAGATGCAGTGTGCAAAATGAGCACTGCAGGAACAATAACTCAGCAAGATGGTTGGAATGTCGCACAACCAACGAGGAAGAAACACTGATGGAAAGATGTGCAATAAAAATTTCCTATCAAGAATTCATAAAAAGCAAGGCCCCCAAACCTCTCCACGTTAATCAAAAACTATGTATGGATCTTAGAAAGAATGACCTCAAATTGACCTAAATATTCTTGGAATTGAATCTGGCTCTAAGTCCCTCAAAAACAGCCAGTGGCTAGAAGAGAACATGGCCAAGCAGAGGGAAGAAGAGCCAACAGCCAATCCTAACATGTCAGCTGGAGTAAAGCATAGCCAAACATGATGGTTTACAGTGATGCTGGAGTGGAGTGAAGCTAAAAACTAGAAACTGGGGCTGGAGTGAATTGCAGTCACTAGAGATCACCGTCAGTATGGTTCTCAGTGGGTACAGTATAGATCTTTGGGACACTGATGGCAGTCCACTAAGGGTTGGGGTAAATCCAGCCGAGAGGTTACCATTAATATGATTATCCTTTTTTTTTGCACGAAACTATTTGTCAACCAAAACAAAATTAACACACAACCTGCATGCTACAAAGGCTGCATTTCAGCAACAAATTGCATCTAAGATATTAACCTGAAACTTGAAAAAAAAATCACCAGTCACAGCAGAAGTAAGAGACAGTGAATACTGGGAAGAGTAGGAACAACATGACTCCATATCAAATAGGCCAGCAACAGTATGAGGGCTTCAGGGGATTGTTTGTAAGGAATTCTAGACTCTTGAGATCCACCCAATACTAGAAATTGTCTCATGCGTAAAAATAGTTAAGGGAGATAATTAAGGTGTTCCAGAAACAGCTCCACTAGTGACCCAACCTGTTTTAGTAGTCTCTAGCTACCTACAGGAACTTCTGCCTCTTCAGGGATTAGAATAATACAAGTAATATACTGCGCGAGTTATTGCAAGCTGCCTGAACACAACAACTAACTGTAATCTATGTCCAGTTGCCACTGCTCTGCCAATGTACATAATTTGTTCAATAGTATGCTGAAGATTATTACCAGCAACTAAATGTAAAGCATCCTAATCAAAACTATAAATATGTAGACACATTTGTAGTTGTAACATCTATAGCAGATGCACTATTGTTTGCTGTCTTAGTTTGTCCCTGAGGTTTAGGTGCAAGCATGGAATTGACATTGATACAATTGTAGGTGGATTGCTAGCAGGTTAAGCAGATGAAGCCCCAACAGAACCCACAGTTGTACTGTTGCTAAGGGGGAGGAAATGGTTTGAGCAAAAGTTGAATGGCAGATTTGGAGTGGCATGTGCATAGATCGGCCAGAGAGGAGCTCTCACACACTGCAAAAGCTGAACTGTGAAAAAAATCTGACTGGGGACTGATCAGAAAAGGGGAGACATGCCAATCTGGGCTGATGACTGGCAAAGGTGGAGTTTGACATGCTGGCGTGTGGCTAGAAGGCCACCAAAGATGGGTGGCATATGGAAGGGAGTTTTCTGGTGACGCTTGGGGTCTTAACAGATGGGCATTCTCAAATTCCAATGATGGGGTCAGTTCGTCAATTGAGGATTGGGGAAGGTGGTGAACCAGAGATGGCCGCGGAAGAGCAGAAAAGTAAATGGATGCACTAATGTTGGCTGGAAAGGTGCATCGCAGCCATGGATAGGAAGAAAAAGTAGTACTCCAGCCAGGAGTTAGTGCAAGGCCATAGGAAGTGATGCCGAACGCACACAAAAAATTGGCCAAATAGAAAATTAGGATTAGGAGAGAACCCTTGTTCTCGAAAAATTATAATCAAATATTCAAAAAATCCACAACCAATATAACAAGGGTCTCAAACTCCCTTTATTAGGCTAATTACAAACCAATCAGAATTTATTAAGGAATCTTTTAAAGATAAAGATAAGGAAAACTATCTCCTTAAAATAAGGAAAGTTTCTAAAGATAAAAATAAAAATAACTAATTACAATTAAATAAATCTATTATCTGATAAGCTCAAGTTCAAAACACATTCCAAATCTTATCCCTTGAAATAAGTCAAATTTCTTGAAAATATGGGTCATGCTTAATGGGCCATAAATTTGATTGAGATTAGATTTCTTGAATCATCCCATTGAATACTCCCTTGAGTTTCTCTGCCCGAGCTCCCAAATCCCTCGATGTTGTGCCCTTATTTGCATCAGGAAGTGACATAGTCAAAGGTCAGAAACACCATACAAGAGCAGTTCCAAATTTTTCTAGGAGAGTAGCAGCAGAATAGTGACAGCATAAGATCACAAAGGATGGTACTGCCTTTCATAACATGTTGAAACAGCCTGTTTGAGAGAAACTGTATATATAGGCTTGCACACTGATCTCTTATTACAAAAAAGCAAAAAAAAACACTCTCCGTTAAACCCGACTAGCGAGTGTGGGGTGGAGGAAATCCTTGTACGCAGTCTTACCCTTGCATAATTGCAAAGAGGCTGTTTCCTGGATTCGAACCCATGACCTTTCAGTCATGAAGGAACTGATCTCTTATTACAGTATCAATAAAATCAACTAAGGAGATAATTACTATCAATCAAGGAGAAAATTACCAGCCAATTTAGAGCAATAAAATAAGTATGACTAAATGCTACTATTCTAAGCATAAATGTCAATATTCTAACAAAAGTAAACACGTTACACAAAAGGAGAGCGATTTAATCATGAACTAAATGAGTAATTTGCAATAAATTTGTCAGGAAACTAATCTAAGATTGATGGGCACATGCTCTATTACTGAAGATAGACAATAAACTCAAGGCAAAACCATGTAAACCTCATACACTTCGCCAAAATAATAATCATATCATTGTTAAAAGGATCAATACAACAAGGGATAAGTAGTTAAATTTAGATTTATGAGCATATTCAAGTGATACACAAATGACAAAAACATATCTAGGCAGCAAATTATAAAACCAGAGCATATTAGTCACTGTTTTTACTACAGCGACCAGCTGAGATACAATATCTCATTCCATTGCCAACAACCATTGCTCAAGGAAAATAATTTTGAGTCCATATAATATGTAATATGTGCTATTGTGGAAGTGGAAGTAATTTATTCTGCCATCTTAACAAGACCTTTAAGAATGGGAAAGGAGAACGGTGGAGGCAGTGGGAAGGCTGCCTATTAATAAGAAAGCTCACCTGGGTATCCACCACGTTGTTCAACTTGATGCCAAATTGAAAGTACAAAGCCTAGAAAACAACAATATGTTTATGAACGCTTTAAATTATCAGGTAAAGTTGATAAATACTGAGATGACACGTCAAGTCTCTCAAACAGTTTTTTTTCTTTGATAAAATGTTTCTTAAACTTCAACAAAATACAAAACGGGGGTGGGGGGAGTGGAGAAAAAGTAATCAAATAAATCAGAGACCTCACTATCCCGTTTGCAATCATGAATGACTTTTGTGATGTAATTAGACTCAAGTGCAGGCTTACAGGCTTTGATAAGCATATCTCCCCCTTGAATTGCATCAACCAGGTATACAGCATCAGGAAATGCAAGCTGCAGAAACATGAAACTTAATTCTATACCAAGAATGAACAAAATAATCCTCAAGCATGCGATTACAAATAAATTATTACATGCTTATCTCAAAAAAAAACAGGAAAATAGAAAATAAAAAACGGCAGAACGACTATCCAAAAATCATAAGAGGCAATTAAAGAATAACACAACAGAGCAGCAACAGGTTTAGGTTTCCATTATATGCATATATGTTGGTTTTATTTATTTATATATAGCAAAGAGCCACTGACATTAACTGAAATTAACATCCAACTATATACACATACATATATATATACTCTATAAATTATCATCATGTTTTTAATTATAGAATTTGCGGAAAATTGCGACTAATGCAGTTGCGGAGACTACCAAAACGGAAATTTAAATCCATGAAATTGTGATATATGAGTGTGAAAGCAAAGGAAGTTGACCTGCATTATACAGAGAGTGCCATTGCGACACAAGTCAACACCCTCGCAGTCAAAACCAATGACGAGTTGAGTTTGAGGTGAGGGTTCCAGGAATTCAACAGGAAGTTGAGACGCAGTGGTCACAACATGAATTGGAACGCGTGATTCATCATCATCCACACCTTTCTCACCTGATTCCAAATTCAATTCATCAAATCCTAGTAACTGATCTCCAAGGAGAACACACTTAATCAAACTTTAGAGTTACTAATAAAAAAAAAACGATCATATTATCAAACAGTTGAAATTGAAGAAAGCGAATCCCTAAATCAATCGCCATGTATGAACCTGAATGAGAGGGTGAAGACAGAGGAAGAGGAAGGTGTGTGAGATAGGAAGAAGAGGGAGTGGAAGGAGAAGAAGCCATGTGATCGGAACCTCAATATCCAACTACATCACAAGTTTCTCTCACTGCTCTGCACTCTCTGCATACACATTCTCTTTTTCCTCTATGTTTTCCTTTTATATTTGTTTATGGCAAAAAAAAAATCTAAAGGGAAAAATGTTGGTACGTAGAGTTTTAAAGAGAGAAATAAATTAATATTTTTTATTTAAATTTTAAATTAAAAAAATTCACTCATTTTATCTTTCCATGATTTTTATTACTTGTGTCTTTTTTTTAAAATTCATACAACTCTATGTCCTTAAAAGTACAAACATGAAACCCAAAATTTAATATTATTATTCAAATAAAAAATAATAAAAGCGTAATATTTTGGAACCAATTTATAGATCTATAGCAATGAGTAGCCCCAAAATTGGGGTGAATCGTGCTACCCAATTAGGCACAACTAGTGTTCGGGACGCGACTCACTGGACAACGAGGATCATCGACCAAAATGCTATTGTTTGACAAGTTTTTTACTCAAATGCCACACGAACAAATGCGATGTAATTCGCTACAACTAATAGCGAATTACGTTCGCCAATAATTTTGTGACACGTGGCACATTTTCGCAGAAAAAAGCTGACCGGACAAAATTCGCTACTAGTGATAGCGAATTTGATACGCAATGTGGCCACGTGTCACGAAATCATAGGCGACGAAGTTCGCTACCTGTCATAGAGAATTACGTCGCGTGGCAGTTTGGTAAAAAATACTGTTTGTGTGACATTTAAGTAACAAATTTGCCAAACAGTGACACTTTAGTCACTGTTCCAGATAACGACACATGGCATATAATAGTTAATAGTTTGACCGTAAAACTTTGAAAAACTCTAACTTTTGACTCAGGTGTCTGAATCATGTTTTTTTATTCCACATAATTTATCAAGATTTAAGCAATAATATCTCATTGAAAGAGATTTGATAAAAAAAGATTCCATTTTGTTTTTGAATTTTTCGAGTTGATGCCACCACAAGAGCATTTTATCTCCTAAACTTTTTCAAAAAAAAAAGGGGGGGACAACATGCGTTTATTTGGTTTTTTAACCCTTTTTAAAACAAAAATTAACAGGTTCCTATTTGTCTGTTGACTTGATGATATAATCAATTACATGAGTTCAAGTTTACAATAAAAGTTCAAAAAGCTATAACTTTTAGCTTGGGAGTCTGAATCAGGTGATCTTTTTATTCCACGTAACGATTTGAGATTTACGCGCTGACAAATTCTCGAAGGATTATTTTTTAGTGTTGGAAAAAAAACTAAATAACATCATTTACAAAGATAAAATATGTCAAACGGGGCACAAAGAAGCATCTTTTTGGGAAATTTGTTTGACCAATTCCTTTACGTGAAATAAAAAAAAAACTGCAACTTCTATCTAGTTTCATATTGTCTATCAACAATCTGACTAGTTTGACCACCAAACTCGCTCAAGCAACGTTCCGCTTGGCAAACCATACTCACTGTGACTCAAAAAATTCGACAAATTTTTTGGAATTTATTTTTACCAAATCCCCTTTAATGAGATGTTATTACATAGATATTGAAAAGTTATGTGTATTAAAAAAATTACTTGATTCGAACACCGAAGTCAAAAGTTATGACATTCCAACTATTAAAGTTTTTTGCATATGTTATGGGACCAGAGGTGGCAAAGCGGGCTGCCCGTCCCAGCCCGCTAAAAGCCCGCCAAAAAGCAGGCTGGCCCGCCCCGCCCCGCCATTGAAGGTGGGCTAGATATCTCAGTCTGCCCTGCCCCGTTTGGGCGAGCGGGGCGGGCTGCCCGCCAAACCCGTCACATTTTACACTAAAAAAAAAAAAATCAGCCCGGGCGGGCTGGCGGGCAGCGGGTTTAGAAAACTCAGCCCGCCCCGCCCCGCCCCGTTTGGCGGGCGAGGCGGGGTGGGCCGGGGCGGCCCATTTTGCCAGCTCTATAAGGGACTGCTCGAACATTAAAATTTTGTGGTGTCAAATTCTTTCTCCTATCTTGTCACCGTCATTTTTTGATTTACAGCTGCATGACTGGATGTTATTTAATTTAAATAAGAAATCGCTAAGGTTGTTTGGCGTTCTTTGGGAGACTATTTTTGGTGTCACTTGCTGGATGACTTGGTGGTGGAGGAATGAAATAGTTCATAGTTCAGGTATGGCTAAAAGTAGATATAATCTTGACGTAATTAGGCTCAAAATTGCTGGAAATTTGGGATGCTATCTCTGATATGAATGGAGGTAGAATGGATAGGGGATATAGTGAGGTTCTAGTCAAATGGGTCCCGCCAGATACTGATTGGATTAAGCTAAATACAGATGGTGCTTCAAAGGGTAATCTTGGTAGGGCTGCTTGTGGGGGACTGATTCGCGGGTCAGATGGGAGATGGTTAGATGTTTTTTCTTACAGGATGGGTTTTTGCAATGCTTTAACTGCTGAATTATGGGGGATATTTAAAGGGCTAGAACTTGCTTGGAATGGTGGTTAGAGGAAAGTTATAATAGAAAGTGATTCATCTACTGTTGATTCTCTTCGACAAGTATACCGATCGCACAAGTAATATAATGAATAAGTAGAGTATCGTCTCCACAGGAATTGTAAACCAAGTACTACAATAACCAGTGCCCTTAAGTTGGAAAACTCGGATGTTTTTGGAAATGAATTGATGGTAAAATAAAGACAAAAATTTAAAATATAATTTTCAATTCAAATAGCAATGGTAAAGTTTGGATTTTTGAGAGAATAATAAAAAGTATTGTAGCTAAGGTACACGCACCATATGATCCCCACTTTAAACTTTGGATTGATTGACAACGTTCATTTAATTTAATAACTCAGACAAATTATCATCTAAAATAATTAGTTAAATCTCAATCCCTTGGCAATCTAACCCTTTAATTCAACTGGAATCCTAATCCCTTAGCAACCCCGCATGAAATTAAGCATTAATCACGATAAATCAAACGATTGCAACTTACACAAGTCTATCCCTAGAGCGTGCATAAATTGTTACCTTACCCCCTTTCAGAATCAAAAACCCCAATATTCCTATTGCGAGCCCTAATTCCCAAATTATTATCTCCTATTAGGTTGATCAAGTCTAACAGAAATAATATCAATACGCACAGAGTAAAAATAAAATATATTAAAATAAACGAGCGAAAATAATCAATCCATCGCAAAAAGGGTTCACATAGGGTTTGTGACCCTAACTACAATAAAAAGAACTAGCTAACCATTATCATGGCTAAATATTCAATATTCATAAACGTGGTAAATTAAAAGAAGAAGAAGAAGATGAAATAGAACCCTCTCTGAGCACCGACGTCGTCTCTCTTCAATAGAATAGGATTCGATCCCTAATTCTATAAAAGACATCCTATTTATATGCCTCTTTTCCTTCTTCCAAAAATGCCCTCGGACAACACGGCGTATTTTTTCCCGCAAACCGGCGCCGGTGTGGCGCCACTTAGCGCCGCACTTCTGCCAAATTGTAAAAGTCAGACCAAATTCCTCGGAAACTGGCGCTAGTTGGCGCCGTTTTGGCGCCACTAGGCGCCATGCCACTGCCAAAAAAATGTCATTCTCAAGAAACTGGCGCCAGTTGGCGCCACTTGCAAATCTCCGTTGTGCAGTTCGTAAATTGGCGCGAGTTTGCGCCAGTGTGGCGCCATTTTGCTGGAATTTGTACTGTGCTACACCCGTGTAGAGTCGCGTCAACAGGCTCTTTATAATTTTGTAATTTTCGCTTCTTTTACCTGTATAAGCACAATCAATAGGTGAGAATTATCATTGACATAGAAAGAATCAATATAATTAGCAAATATGTATTTAAATTGCTCTTTTATGACTCAATTCTTATCAATTTCAACTTGAAAAACCACACTTGTCAGAGGCACATCAAACCATTCCCAGATTTAAACGTTGATGTCCCCAGCAATGTACAAGACTCAATCCAGGAAATATTCAATTAATCCAACATAACAATCCATAGACACTCTCAGACACAATATGCCATGCATGCCTGACCCAATATCATAAATTTCCAACAGTGTCATCAGCTTCTTAAAGATACAAGTCTACATTGATTACCCCTCACACAGATAAATAATGTCCACTCATCACTCAGTGTTTAAGGGTATCATGAGCACTCAATCAATCACAGCTATAATACTACCATAGGCTTGATCATATTCTCAAAAATTCTTTAAAATGAAGAATCAAACACATGCATCAATTGATCAAAAGGACTTCACAGGTTGTAACTTGGCCGGGTTAAAGGGTAGGAATATATGGATAGTAGCTCAAACAACAATGAGATTGAAAACTGATATTATTTCTCTTTAACACATTCAACTTAATGGTTTTGCTCCACTAACATTCCCACAGAATTTCGGGAATTAATTCCTTTCAGCCACCTTTTATGCACATTCACCATTTTTTTTTTCTTTCTTTTTCAAAGTTTTTTATAAGGTCACAGATGAAATTTGCATCCCCTAATTACTTGACCTCTGTGGAGCTTACCTCAATTTCTTTGTTTTATTTTCAACACATCAGTAATTCAATCTCAATCAAGGTAAGTCACATGGATATAGGCTAAGCCATCAATCAAACCACAGGTCATTCATCAACAAAAAAGTTCAGGCTCAAGGGGCTAACAATGGAAAAAATCATACAGGTGGGTTATTTTGGCCAATAGTTAACAAGAACAAAATGCATTTATCATATCAACCAATGCATGCATAACAGAGAAACAGATCAAGTTTTAGAGTGTTACAACAGTGAGGTCTCTCAAAAAGAAAATTCAATGTTTAAGCTCAAACCTCACAGCTATGGTATCAATATAGACTTCAAGAAAATTGACCTCAGACATTATCAGAATTTCACAACATCAGTTCAGACAAACGAACAATCATATAATCCAATTATATCTATGCAATGTCATGTCAGAATGTCATACAACATACTTCTAAAAATTCAGTCAAGCACATTAACTAGATAAGCACATTTAAACCTGAGAATTGCTTGAAAAACAGATTAATAATTTTTTTTTTAGAAAAAAATAAAGA